GCCCACCCATCAATCACCAGGTGCAAAAAAACTTTTTACCATTTATTGGATAAAAAAAAATCATTGTGTTTATGCCACATCCACAGGGGGGAGTGTTTTTATTCCGGATACCATCGATTGGGCATTTACCGGTTGCAATTTGGGCAGCACCAAAGCCCAAAGCCACAGCGGCATACACCAACAACAAACATTTTACGCACATTAATTTTAAAAAAAATGCAGTTCACATATGAGAAAGACACTTTCAAACACAAAAACACCGTAAACAAATATCACCGTCAGGGGCAACACGAGAAACCCTAAGCCACAGCGGCATGCACGTTCAATAACTGATGCACTTTGGCGATCGATGATGGATTTTGCAATCGGTGATGGGTCGTTGATCATCAAGGGCGGATCCAGAACACAATTTTTTTTGGGGGGGGGGAAATTTGGTCCCCAAGACAGTGGGTCAAAAAATTTGGATTGTAGATGCTCTGTGGTGTGATCTGAGGCAATTTCTGACCACTTTAACCTATTTTTTTTAAGGAAAAGATGGTGGTGTACTCATTGTCTGCCTTTATTGCGATGCCTTTGCCCCCCCCCCCCCTGGATCCGCCCTTGTTGATCATTGGTCGCAAAAGTCCATCACCGATTGCAAAAGTCCATCACCGATTGCAAAAGTCCATCACCGATTGCAAAGTTGATCACCGGTCGCGAAAGTCCATCACCGATCGTTAATATACATCACCAGTAAAAGTCCATCACCGATTGCGAAAGTCCATCACCGATCGTGAATATGCATCACCAGTAAAAGTCCATCACCGATTGCGAAAGTCCATCACCGATCGTGAATATGCATCACCAGTAAAAGTCCATCACCGATCGCGAAAGTCCATCACCGATCGTGAATATGCATCACCGATTGCAAAAGTCCATCACCGATTCGATGATCACATTAAATGCCTCTTTGGCGTTCCATAAATAAGGCTATTGGTTATAAATTCTTTGCAGAGAAACATTGAATTGCCCAGGAAACATCAATTGCTGCATATCGTCTGGAATGATCTCTATGCCCTTGCACTTTTTCCCTTGCAAAGAAACAAGGACAGAAATTGTTATTGTTCCATTTGTGTAGCAAGGCAACTGCAAGGCTGTGTCAACTGGCATACTTTGCTTTGGTTGATGTTTTTTTACAAAATTCTTTTCTTTCAAATGCAAGCATCACAGCTCAACTCTGTGGTTCAGTAAAAAGCCACTTTCCTATGAGGGACTAACAAACTTCGTTTAAAACTTTAAACTGACAAACTTGAAAGGTTCTGCAGAAATTTTAGAATTTTCAGATGTACAAAATGTACGTGTCGTACAGGACATTCAAAAATTGTTTTCAAGCCTGTTTAGAAAGTACTTTGGGCTATTAGAATTTTACAAAAAATCCTTGAGCACACTTTATAAGAGTGGTATCACTAGGCTTTATTGCTCAATAGTTAATTTGGCTGAAAATTTACTTGTCAGGATAATACTGCTAAAAATGCAAAGTGTCGTTCTGGACGAAGATAATTCACTTTTTGTGACTTTTTATGAATTTGGAAAAACCCTCAGTTGATCTGTAACAAAGTTTTGTAACTATTTAACTTGAAATTTTCATTAAGTCTCAAATCAAAGGTCAGGTATTAGGATCTCTCAAATAGATGTTGTTCTTATTTAGTAAGGTCATGATTGCCAACAGTATATTTGTTCAGTACATGTATTTAAAGCACTCAAGGCATGCACACAAGTTTGCGCCCTGACTACAGATTAGTCAAAGAAGACAAAGCAAACCTTTGCAATGGCAAAGTTTAAGTCCACAGAGGTCACTACACATACATACACGATATATCTCTGTCACATCAAATAAACAGGGTCAGATCCAGGCACAGAGAATACGTGTGGGTTACACACAAAGCCTAAAGGCCGATTCAGTGACCCTAAAATGGTAAAACGCAACTACACCAGGTACTGGCACAAACACCTCCAATATGTACACGGGACTTTGGGACACCACCCCTTTTGAGTACACAATCGTTACAATACAGGTTCCATACCGTTGTATCATGTAAAGTGTGTATTTTTAAGAACATGTGTAAGGCGTGCTTAATCATTTCCTATTCTATTTCACATTCCACAAGTTATTAAGTAGAATTTCACTTTTATACAGGGACTTCCACGTCATTTTTGCAAGTCACGTTTCAGAATTGCAGTTTCACTTTTACTCATGCAAAAAGAAACTGTTTGAAGTTGAGAACAAAATCCATAGTGTCGTTGTGGAATTGTCCTGTCATGCCTGCTGCAAAAAAAAATGTGTTGAAATTCTTATCACAGGACTTTTGTAAAGTCTCTTGAAATTAATACTGGTCAGTAGACCTACATGTACACCATTAAATTGTAAACAGGATAACTGTCATTTCCTGTTGAAAAGGAAACATTGCAGCTGAAAGGCTGCATTTATATATTTTTGCTTTTTTATGTAGGCCTACCGGGTTAAGTCAAAAAAAGCAGAACCCAAACCCAAAAAATTATATTTCATGCTTAAAAAAAAAAATTGTAGCATTAGCACCAAAGAAAATATTGACTAGAAAACTATCATAAGCTACTTTTAGATGAAACAATTACTGAAATTGCTCAATCTGTTCAAAGAATATCACCATTTACATAATAACCCAAAAACCTGTCTCATCCAAAAATGCGATTTCAAGAATCGTTGTCACAATCATCTTCAAACATCACCAGCGATTATCGCTGGTGATGTTTGAAGATGATTGTGACATGCATAACCTGTTTGAAAGATAAAAATCTTCAACAAAGTTGTTTTGAAGGCCTGTCTTTATAAAAAGTAGATTTTATAAATCATATTGTTTGCCAAACCAGGGTTGTTAATAAAGACATTGTGTACTACAGTTACTGACAGTTGTTATAGCAAGTATTCTGTGTCATTTTCTTTGATATTCCAAACAGTGAAAACACACAATAAATTTTTTTTTGGCACGAGACAGATTTTAGGGTCGTTGCATTGCGTTTAAATGGTGATATTCTTTGAACGGATTGAGCAATTTCAGTAATTTTATCATTTAAAAGTAGCTTATGAAATATTGCCTTTCCAGTTATTATTATTTTTGATGCTACATGTTCATATTTTTTTAAAATAAGGAATATTTGGGAGGTTTGGGTTCCGGTTTTTTTGACTCACTCTGTATAGTGATATATTTTTACTTTCATACTGTACAAATGTAGATCGTACTTGCTCACTTGGTTACAAAGCGAAACACAGGGGCGATGACTGGGAGGGTCTTGGACACATAGATGCTGCAGTCTCATGCCTGGCGCTCACTAATGGTCATTAAAACTCCATTTTAACAAATGTTGTCTGACGAATGTGGAACATGCCATTTTTAACAAACAAGAAATACATGTAACTTTAATTTTTCAAATAGTTGTGGAATTTTTTTAGGAAAAGGTAACATTAAGACCCAGGAAAAAAAAAACTGGCCCGGTCAATCACGGAGCTTTTGGAATATTTACAGTAATAGTAGCTGAACATTTCACTGTCGGCGTCGAGCTACATGTATACTGGACCGTTCTGGTCAAACAGGCAGTTGTTATTAATGATGTGATGCACATATTCCCAATCATGCCAATGGTGCTGTTGCAATGCCGTAATTACATGAGTGATAGCAGTTGAAAATTGTGTTACGGTGGGAAATTTAACAATAGCCAGTTAGCCACTACGTTTTTCAAAAGACTTGTTATGGTGGCGATCGTGTAGTGTAGGGCCCCTGGTTTGTTTTGATCAATTATTAGAATCGAGAATTTTTTTATTTATAAAAAATGACATTGTCAACCTAAAGCAGACTTCTCTTGTTGGTAATTTTTGAATAGTTTCTTGGGGTAGAAACTGCTTTTTTCAGATGTCTATTAGTATTTTTCATGAAATTTCGAGATTCGTTTACACACGTTTGCGTATCAAAATTTCAACATGAAATTGCACGAAAATTAGACATCTGAAAAAGGCAGCACTTTCTGATTAGCCTATACAGAGGGTGAGTATGCTTCTAGAGCAAAAATAAACTACAAACTAAACCTAAATGTGAAAATTAAAATTTGACAAAGTTCGACATGTTTTTGTACATGGTGGAAGTGTGGCCTTTATTTACGGAGGTAGTCCAATAAATTGGCCACATTTATGGGGCTATTAATTTTCAAGCACCAAAAGTTGCATCCTTTATGGTTATTTCCTCCACTTTACCTCCTCTACTCTCACCCTCTCCTTTCCTTTTTTCCTTTTTATTAATCAGTCACTTACTTCATCGAGATTCGAACCGCGGACACTTGCTTGAAAGACGAGACTTTTACCACTAGACCACACGCATAATCGCAATGCAATGATAGATCTTTGGTCGTATTTGAAGTATCCATTGAAATAAACTAAATATTCATGAGAAAATAAATATTCATAATGACCGGCTCATGCGTTGTCATGGTTGTTGACGTCATGCGTATCTGGTTCGTTAATAGTAAAAACGTCATACACACGCGCGCACCACTGATAACTAGCGTCCATTGGCTACAAACGCTCGAGTTGCGTTAACTTCCGATTCCAAACGTGCAGAAAGTGCTGGAGGTGACGTCACACTAACGAACCGGATATAACATACTGCTGTCTTCCAGACACTTTAATCAGTTTTGACCGGCTGCTTCAACTTAGCGACGTGTGCATCCAAAATGTGCTCTAAAAACACATTTTTCTTGAAAAAAAAATCACATTGCCGAGGCTTCCTGGATTCCTTTTGGGTGAAATCACATGGTGAGGTGAAAACTGATGAGTTTGGCAACATGTAAGTGGTGATCCAGTATGGATTTTTTTCCCCTCATCATGTCTTACAACAAACCTTGCCCTCTTTCCATGCTTTCCACGAAATTAGGCCTAGAAATACACTTCAGCTAGGCTATAGGCCTACTTCAATGATGGCACCCCAAAAGCTTACCACCGTCTTCTTGTAGTCCTCCATCTGATTCGAAGCCTTGTCACGATTAGCCATGATGCTAGATGACGATAGGTTTCTTCTAGACCAAAAATTTGCTCCTTTAGCAGACGATGCAACACCCCTCGAAGCCTGACGTCCAATCCTCGCAAGAGACACAATGCAAAAGGACATGGCTCGTCGTTTCGTAACGCGTGAACTCTACGTAACACACACAGACCATAACCTACATGCACTCCATCGGTTTGTATCGAAGGTCGTACATAGGGGAAGATCGGACAGTCCTCTGAAAAATGTGAAACACGAAAGTACTTGCTTGAGCTCAGCTGACTCTCGACTAGCTCAAACGCATGGTTGTGAAAAAGCCTCTAAAGTACATGTATTTTTGTGGGGTTAAAATCATGCCGATATGGAATATTTTAAAGCAGTTTATTCTATAATTGATAACACCACTTATGTGCTTCATGGTGAAATGCCTACAAGTTAAAAGAACTTGTTTTGACAGTGTACCCTAGTATTTATGAATGGGAATAATTAAAAGAGTTATTCATGAAGGAATACAGGTCAGCTCGTACGCGAGCCAACTCGTACGCGACCAACTCGTACGCAGGACTACTCGTACACGGACAAACTCGTACGCCGGCCAACTCGTATGCGTGATAACTCGTACGCGGGTACGCGGACCTACTCGTACGCGAGCCAACTCGTACACGTGAGTTGTCCGGCACATTCTTTTTTTTCTTAAGTTAAGGGGATAATTTGGGTTACTGAGTGGTCCCAATTAGTTCAGTTTTAAATCAGCTTTTTTTGCTCATAACAAAAAAGTTGTGATTTGTTTTGCCGGACCACTTGCACACTGTCGATGTCTGATCCTGGCTCACACCGTACGCTATACGACAAGATATTGCCACGTAGTGAGAATTTAAATCGTATAATGTCCGCTGCATTTGTAGACTTCCAACAATACATTGCTATAGTGGCCCCGCGATATGTGTAAATCAAATCGTTGTACGTCTTGACAAATTCTCCACACTAGCTGTGTGGTTGGAAGCGCATGCCGCAGCATTGCACTACACATCGGTCGCAATTAAAATGGATCATGTTTTTTTGTATCATTGAAACTTTTAACTTGACATCGTTGCATTTATGGAATTTAAACTGTTGAAAATACATATGGCTACAATCATAGTTATTCAGTCATACAATCGTACTGTGTACTGTGATAAATCGATAACTTTGGCGTGTGTTTTGGGGTAAACTTTTGGCGATCGTAAACATCGTTCAATTTAAATTTTCTTATTTCGGTCCGCGTACGAGTTGCCTGGCGTACGAGTTGGTTCGCGTACGAGTTGGTCCGCGTACGAGTTGTCTTGCGTACGAGTTGGCTGGCGTACGAGTTGTCTCGCGTACGAGTTGACCAATCCGCGTACGAGTTGTCTCGCGTACGAGTTGGTTCGCGTACGAGTTGGTTCGCGTACGAGTTGACCTGTTTCCTGATGAATGACTTAGTTTTAACGGCCGTTTCAAACCTTGCAGGGTCGTGGCAGGCCCAGTTCTACGGGGGGGGGGGGGGGGGCTAGGGGGGCTTTAGCCCCCCAAAATTTTGTCTAGCCCCCCCAAAAAATAAATTCCGTACAAAAAAAATGGAAGTTAGCAAAAAGAAGGATTGTGATGTACATGCGAACGGTCTCCCTAAAAAAAATAGTCGTGACAAGGGTGGCATGAGGCCCGTTTGTAAACACATACATGTGCATTTCGAACTGTAAAAGGGAATCGGGAACCAGCTTGAACTGGTATCCGCCATAAAAGCTACGCTAGTTCCCGACTCCCTATTATCGTTTGAAATGCACATGTGTTTACAAACGTGATCCAGTCTACTCATTATCATAATCGATGCATCGCGCGCGCTCGGTAACGGAATCGCACTCGGGATACGGGGACCATCGAATGTACGCTGGGCATGAAGAAGAAATCGCGTAGTTCAAACATTAAACACGATCGGAAATTTAACGTGTTCAAGATTTCTCCGTTATCCCTCTTTTTACTGATTTTGGGTCAATGATAAATCCCGCTTGCATTTCACACCCGATGTCATAAAATCCACGTGTATAATATTCACCTCAGCCGCACGCGCGTTTACCTACCTACCGCTAGAGGCGCCCTTCCTCATAGCCTGGATTGAAGATCTCACGTGTTTCACAGGTCAACGTACAAAATGATACCCAGTGTCCGATCTTCCTCCATATACACTCAGCTTCTGGGTACCAGACCGACATCGTCCGACTTCACTTCATTGCGCAGCACTTTTTTGTTTATTTTTGTTGATCAATCAGACGTGTCAACAGCTATCTCGTGACTGACAACTAAAGGCACCAACAGTACTTGAACCCGTTCCAAGTTCTATAGATCAGTACGCGCATGACTGAATTTCATCATACAAATCTGCGGTAATGAAATTCTTCGTCACGGGTTGAACTGAAAAAAAAAGCCAAGTCATTGAAATTACCAAGCCCTTGTGTCGATCGTGGACAAGTCTGTACTCTTCGGTAATATTGTTGATGTGCCCTATACCTAACGTGGCGCGGCCCCTAACGTCTGGATGGGCGATAATTACCCTCGGCTTTGCCTCGGATAATTATCACACACATTTATTCCCTTAGTAATACCAAGATAAAAGTCCACATGATGTTTCATGGGGTGATTACAGTTAAAAATCAGTCTGTCCAAAAATTATAGCAAGAAAAAGCTAGGGCTATACTTGAACACATACAAATTGAAACGGTCCCAGCTAAAGTTGGGGCCATGAATAAGTTTGGACGTAGCACTTTGATCATTTCATGTTTCATTGGTTTTCGTCTTTGTGTAGGCCTAGTGGTGAGTAAACAGGTAGTTTGAGTATCCTCGTTATCCACGGAACCAAGTCTCCCGTATAACATCTGATATATCAAATCAAGCAGATTTATGCGATCTTCTCAGCCAATTGGAGTCAACTTTATTAATCGTGACGTCATTTCATTCCCAAATCAGGACTAAACCTTTGATTGGTCAATTCGAGTGCAATGTTTTGTAATACAACAACAGCCGGGCGCGCATCGCGCAGCTTGATGATACAGAGCGCGTGACACAGCCTTTGTTGCTGTGTCTAAGTTTTTTTTATCCATGTCTATATAAGACGTCTCATCGGGTGAATGACTGAAGACCCGATATAGAAAGCGCCCACTAATTGGTCAAAATCTAGAGGTCAAGATGCGGATGTATTGCATAATTGATCAGCGAATGGACACAGACTAGCAAACAGGATGCCAATACAGGTATTGCCGACTTGAAGGTTTGATCCAAAACCGTATCAATTTTGTTTCAAGTTGTAGCTGCAGATTATTGTACTGTATTAGTTTTTGTAATTTTGTATTAAAAACATGAATTGGCGTAATTAAAGAATTGGTATTTAAATGAAGCCGGTCCCTTTCCCATTAGGCCTCTCAAAAATCTCCGGTTTCTAGTGTGGAGCTTGCTCCAAAAGTGGTGTGGCGAAGCGGGTTTTCCCCCCTCTTTTTTTTTTTTGAAGTGTCGGCTGTTGTTGCAGATGATGCTTCGATCCTCTTAACTTACTCAAAAACATCCTTCAGGGTGGAGCTTGAGGTGACCTTAGTAAGGCTATGAGGCTTGAGAATTCTGCACCAACTTGCGCTCTCGATCGACACGAGCATTCTTCATGAAATTTGGATAGTCAAGAGAAAACGGTAACATCAGACCCATACAGCAAATCGACATATCGTGCATGCAGTGGCGCACCCAAGGGGCGGGGGGGGGGGGGGGGGGCTCGCTACGCGGCAACCCCTGGTCCAATTTTTATGTTTTTGGTATCAAAAGATGCGCAAGGCTCCAGGCTAAAAAGTCATAACCGCTCGGGTCGCGATTTTTTTTTTTAAGCTATCGCGGAAAAAGTTGAGGGGATTCCGCCCCGGCCCTTTTAGGGTTAAGGTTGATTACAGAATGCCAGCATAGGAACTGCCTCGATGAAGCTTTAAAACGGAAAGTATACACTCTCAGGGGAAAGGTATTAACAATTGTCCTTATTGAAATATCGAATGAAAACCCCTGGCAAGCACAAACAACTTTGCCACCATTGTCATGGTCCAGGTCCATTGATGTTGGGGTCAAGCATCCATCAAGCATAACTCCACTGGCGACACAATGCATTGCCCAAGTTGCTATAATAATGGACCTGTCATAAATAGATAGCATATGTATCAATTCTGCATTGCTTGCAGATTTAGAAAATCGCTGTTCCTTTGTATATTGTTTGTTCTTTATTCCCCTTAGTTCGTTTGTAACCACCATCGACAGTAAAAAGAACTAACAGCAATAAGAACACCCTGCGAATCATTGACATATTAAAAATCTTCTCTTTGAATGGCCATCAAAATATTAGCCAGGCGCTTCCCCATTTACAGATTTGTAGCCTTTGCAAGAGCCATTAAAGATTTCCCGGCATCTTTCCACCCCTGTTTTGGGTTGTAAAGTGTGGCTGACATGTTTTTAATGCAAAATAGTTGGTTTTACCACGACCTCCGTGATGTGGCCAGCTCAAAAGTTTGTCAGGGGTGACAGGCTGTATTTGTGGACCAGTTTGGACATTAAGAGGTAGAGCAAGTAAACTTAGTAGGTGAATATGAACAAGTACCGTCTTTCGAAATTACAAGTGGGATTGGAAATGGCGATGTGTGAATTTAAAAACCAATCCTCAAAAGTTTACCAAATTTCTCCTAGATATTCTTTATAACACGAACTCCCTCATTAATGTCTCAAACCAATTCATTTGATTGACTTCAAGGGCGGATCCAGGACACAATTTTTTTTGGGGGGGGGCCAAAACAAATTTTGGTCCCCCCAAAAAGTGGGTCAAAAAATTACGGCGTGGGGTTCGGGGCCCGCTTAAGGGCCCCGAAAATATTTTGGATTCTAGATGCTCTGTGGTGCGATCTGAGGCAATTTCTGACCACTTTAACCAATGTTTTTTTGAGGTAAGATGGTGGTGTACTCATTGCCTGCCTTTATTGCGATGTCACATAAAAAAAAAATTTAAAAAATGGTTTCGTTTTAATTTTTTGGGGGGGGGGGGGGGCCATGGCCCCCTTTGGCCCCCCCCCCCCTGGATCCGCCCTTGATTGACTTGAGTGGTAAACTATTTATGACTGCCTCTGAAGTTTACGTTTGACTTATCTTCGATGGACACATTTGCACTTTGCTATTTGCAAACAGGTATACCATACCTTACAAATCTACAACCACATGTACCGGTACTCATCCAATATGTATCGTGGCCAAAGTTAGAAATTATACAAATACAAAGTAACTGATATGAACATTTTTTTCAATTTCCAGAATCGATTCACTAAGAAAGGGACTATATTTGTTCTGATACGATTCTATCTTTTATTTTCATTGCACAGTGATAAAACAGATCTATAATTATTATGTTGGCATAAATTAAATCTTGAAAATTAAATGCTATAGTGGAACATTTCCAGTTTAGTATTGGACATGCTGTTTGAATTTTAAGTTCAAATATTTGTGAAATGTCGCTTTTAATTAATGGACAATGTAGACATATTTTCATCTGTTGGAAATGCTGGGAAGTAGAATTTTTTTGTCTGTTTCAAACATCATTTTGACACTGAAGCTTTACACTTTCAACTCTATTGTCTTGGGCGATCCTGACAATAAATAACAAGTCATTTTGTTAAAGTGAAAATTCAATTCGTTCGACAAATTTACCGTGAAATTCATTAATTAAACGAACTGTGTTTTCACTCACATTCTCACTTAATTAGGCCTTAAGTGTAATTCTTTTTTTTTCTTCAAAGAATTTCAAATCAGAGCGATTTTCACTCTAAATGGCATGTTCCCCAATTTAACTCGGTGGCCCCACCCAGGAAGTACCCCCAAAAATATCCCTGGCCAATTTTCGGGCGATTCACAATGCAGTGCGCCACCAAGAGGAGAGTCCATTTTTCAAGTCTGCGGTCGACAAAATATACTTCAGCTAACTTGTATATATAAGGGACATAGCGTTCTGCCGCCTAACACACACAAAAAACACCAAATTGATTTTAAAAAAATGCAAAAATATACTCAAATCATACGCTTAAGAAACTACTGACCGGAAAAAAACTAACAATTTCAAATGTCCCGCGCGGCGAATTTGTCGACCATATCCCACAATGTACTGGACATGGGAAACATGAAGTCTCCGTGGCAATCTCTTGGTGGCGCACTGCATTATGAATCGCCCGAAATTCGGAGGGTTAAAAACGACACTTCCACTTCATTGACATTTTCAATCAATCCAAATTTAAACTGTAACTGTATGACTCAAACTGGATTTTAATCCACGTAAGCAAGGATATTTGGGCTGCCACTTCCTGCATTATTGATTACATTGGGAGTAGCAGCATTCACGAGATTGGTCCTAATCTGCTGCGGTGTCAGACTTGGATTTTCGGCCAAGTAGAGGGCAGATATTCCTGTAATATACCAATCAAAAATAACAAATCATCATAAACCCAAAGGGGAAATGACTATTTATATCTCATCTCATTGGTCTCCTCAACAGACTCTCCCCTGCTTACCATTGAGGGGGTAGTTGTGCACGTAGCCCATAATAAGATATTTGAATAAAGACATTGACTAGGGCAGGGTTTGAACTGCGATCTGCAAACACTGTACCGACGCTCTACCAAGTGGGCTTGCCAGCAAAAAGCTGGCAGTCTCCACGTAAGTCAATGTCTCTGTTATCTGAGGGCGCTAGTCAGAAGCCATAAACCTAGACATGAAACCATGGGCGTCAATCGGTGGGGCACGATTCTATAACTCAGAATAGCTGATTCAATGACGCAATTCACGCAAAACTTGAAAATAATGTGATCTTTTGCTCACAAAAATTGGTTTAAGTGGTCAGTAATTGCCTCAGATCGCACCACAGAGTGTCTACAATCCAAACATTTTCTGGGGCCCTTAAGCGGGCCCCGCACCCCACGCCGTTAGGGCTTCGCGCTTTGCGCTCGCATTAGTGCTGATTGCAAGGTATGTCCCCCAAGGGCGGATCCAGAACACCATTTGGGGGGGGGGGGCAACAAAAAAATTGGTCCCCCAAAAAATGGGTCAACAAATTACGGCGTGGGGTTCGGGGCCCGCTTAAGGGCCCCGAATTTTTTTTTGGATTCTAGATGCTCTGTGGTGCGATCTGAGGCAATTTCTGACCACTTTAACCAATTTTTTTTTTGAGGAAAAGATGGTGGTGTACTCATTGCCTGCCTTTATTGCGATGTCACATAAACAAAAAATAAATTGGTTTCGTTTTTTGGGGGGGCCATGGCCCCCTTTGGCCCCCCTTGGATCCGCCCTTGATGTCCCCTCCCTCCCCCCCCCCCCCACTTTTGAGAAGAGATTGACGCCCTTGCATGAAACTAAGACAATGACTATTTGGAAGAAGCTAACATAGCGTTGGATATATAGCTCATTTGGTAGAGCGCTTAAAGATGGTGTGGGGTCGCAGGTTCACATCCTGCTCCAGTGAACTTCTTTGCTTGTCGTTCTTATCGTAAAAAAAATAAACCTGTATCACTTTTCTTTGCAAAAAAACATTATTTTAAAAAACAAACTGCAGAAAAGAGCAGAGAAAGCTAAAGAAAAGTTAAAAAGGGAGAAACGTGCCAGGGACAAAATTTCAGCAAATTTGGCAAGAACAAAATACAGTTGAGGAACAATGCGTGGTTGCTTTTTTTTCTACCTGAAACGTGCGGACACGCCATGGAGGTTCCAGACATTACTTTGGTGGCGGTGTTAGATGAGTAATAGTCACTTGTGATAGAGGACCCAGGAGCAAAGATGTCCACGCATGATCCGTAGTTTGAAAAGGATGATCTGTAGTCACTAGAGGTAGTGGAACCGACTGTAATCACCTGCCATCGGAAAAATGGAGTTGAATAAAAAGAGCTTCAGACCTTCAGAAGTAGTAGTTTAATGTTATATTTGCATTTTAGGTACTGGTTTCTGAATTTTGTGATCAGAGATGAGTCGTTCTTTTGGGTGACTCGAGTCGAGTTCTGTCATTGTAAGGCACTGACTCGAGTCGAGTCGAGTCGAGTCGAGTCATTAGCTTAACAAGGTCAAGTTAAGTTAAGGTCGAGTCACTTTCTTGCTTGAGTCAATACGATTGCGAGTGTCTGGGATGTATAGGTGCAACCTCGTTCCCGGGATGTCGAGCAGTACGCACCAACCACTACCTGCTCTCTCACACTGGTATTGGATCTTTGCATGTGCAAGATTTTGAACACGTATGCAAATGAGGAATAGTCTGGTGCATGCATAGCCTATGCGTTACATGTTTGTTACTTGTTTTTGCATGCGGTATCTGGAGTAAAAACAGCATCAATTCGTCGCGCCGTGAGTTACGAAAACAGGATTGTTTCCAAATTAAAATGTTACATCTTATCCTGCCAATATACAGTTTCACATTTTATATTAATATGAGCAAATTGGAAAGGAAATGAGTATTTTTGAGAAGGCGGCCCGGGCGTTATAATCACAATGATCGTGAAAACACGTAGGCCCTAACGCACGTTGGAAATAGCAACACCAAGTACACGATATAAATCCATTACTAGCAAATTTCGGTATCGAATCAGGATACAGGAAGAAAGTTTCCTATCCAGGGCTTACCACTGAAAACGATGTTTGAAATAAAGTAAGCACTGGGGACGAGGTTGATATAGGTGCAACTCATCACCACTAAAACTGTATATCGCCCTCTTGAGTTTGTAAGGCCAGTCACGCAGTTATATACGGAGAGTTCTAGAATACACAGTTGTTAGTCAGAATCCTGTCTGGATATGTGTCGTCTTTCCAAGCTTCAATCTTACATAAGAACCCCGTAGCAATGAGGCCATTTTATTTAGTATCACAAACTGATACTATACTTGGTTAAGTTTCAGCCTTTTTTTAAGGGGGGGATTTCTGGTTAAAGGGAGGTCTCCCCCATGTAAAAAAAAAGCCACACACAATGGGGCCTACACAAAAAAGGGGGGGGGGGGGGCTGGAAAGGGAGGGAAGAAGGGAGGGGTAACAGCGTTTGTATACCCATTCAAATCGTGGACGTTGAACAATAGAGGACAAATGGTCCACGATTGATATTCGTGTACAAAAACAATGAGAGCAGTTGCTACCAAGTTAAATATAAAAGCAGGACAATACGGGGTCCACGATTGCAGGTGTATACACATTGGTGCATGAGTTAGTGGGGTGGGGTGGAGGTATGATCTTTTAACATCTTTTTCTTCTTCTTCAATACCTCACTCAGCCACGCTGGAGATGATGTACACGCTAGAGCATTGCTGTTACCAGCTGATACCACCACCGGAATACCAGCAGAAACAACTTTTTTGACTCCCGTCTCGAAATATGTAGATTTGGGGCCTCCGATGGACATGGATACGACAGCTGGTTTCTTTGCATTTGCAATGACATAGTCCAATCCTACATGTAAAGGAATTATGATAAAGAAACTGGATTGATTATTATTACAACCATGTTGCATTCGCGATGCTAAAGATTTGGGGGGGGGGGAAGAATGTGATTTTGCGGGGAAGATAATGACCATAAGTGCACTATGCGTCAGAGAATGGTTCTCGGACTTACAACTTCCTTTTTAACAAAAACCTACCATGAGGACTTGATTAAACACAATTTAGGTACTTTTGGGGGGTAGGGGGAAGAAATTAAAATGTACAATCCAAATTGGAACCTCCAGCAATCAGACGAGTAATTTAACTCAGCAGGCTACATAGCGAAGCCACGCTGACCACTGGGATGTAAGCTTTATAAGAAGTTATTCCGAATCAGGCGATTTAGTTGTTCACGTGACATGTTTCACGCATGCGTATTACGGTCTATGACTTAACTGAGATGTAAAAAAAAGTATATAGCTAGGTAGAAACAAGAGCCATTAAGCTCCCATATCAAAATAGCGCACATGTAAACAAAGTGTGACGTCATTTTGTCTCAGGTCTATACTCTCTTTGGAACTGCTGAAGGGGTACTTGGGCACAAGTGCACAGTCACCATTGTGAATTCAGTCATAATCCAAGGACTTTTCTTGTGAGTTTCGATCCAATTTCACTCTCTAGTCTGTTGTTCGAAAAAGTTTTGTTTTAAGGACAAAATCGAATCCAATATTGCCAGTTACCAAAGTTAAAGGGGAGTAACAATGTTCCCAGTGATAGACCCGTGTTCAAGTCAAACTAGCCAAAGGCCCATTGCAGTGACGTCAACTAGAAGGCACTCAGAGAGCGCAAACCGCCGCCAAGGGTGAACTTTCCCCGCCATATTGTCAGTGCACCCAAAAGAAATACTCGCATAAATGGTGAGGAATCCTTGAAAAACATCCTGGATCCAGACCCAGATCGAAATCACTTCCAAACTCTAATCGTTTGTACCAAAACAGGGCCACCCCTTAAACTATTTCAAGCAAATCTGTCCATAACTTGTTGAATTATCTTGTTAACAGACAAACCAACCGACCAACCAACAAACTTACCAAATCCGATGAAAACATAACCTCTTTGGCGGAGGTAATGAATCCACAGCCTTTAATTGACACGACAAGGCAAGTCTAGTAAAGCCGATCCCAGAGCACACCAAATTATATTCAATTCGGGCGATTCACAATGCAGTGCGCCACCAAGATTTTGCCATGGAAAGTTAATTCTTCAAGTTTACAGTCGACAAAACATGGCCCATTTGAATGGGTGTCAGTAGACAACTTGAACTAATATGTTATAGATTGGGGTATAGCATTCTGCCGTCTTACAAAAAACTTCACATTGAAAAAAAGAAGAAAAGATAAGGGCAAACAGATCCTTGAATCATACGCTTACGAAACTACTGACCGCAGAAAAAGTGACAATTTCAAATGTCCCACTCTGCGAATTTGTCGACCATCTCCCACAATGCACTGGGAAAAATTATCTCTCCGTAGCAAATTCTTGGTGGCGCACTGCATTGTGGATCGCCCGAATTGATTCAGGATAACTATTCACTAAGGTTTTTAATGCATTTTGTTCTTTCATGAATACACAATGGGCCGGATTAAGCCCATTCATTGGCATTACAGGGTAATCCTATACGATAGCACTGCCAGAGTCACAAGTGACGGTCAGTCATTGAGTCAGTCTGTCAGTGAGATATGATACACAAACTGAGGAAACTAGGCTAGTCAGTGGAAAATGTCCTTACACCCTACCTGCGACGATTGTAGAGTAGTAGCCAGAATTGCCACAGGGAGTTGATCCTAAAACCTTCACTCCCTTGATGGTTGCCTGTTTGGCGACTCCATAATAACTGCCTGCCGCAGTACCAGCACAGTGGGTTCCATGGCCCTGGCAGTCTATACCCTATTCAAAGATGGTAGAATAACAATGTTATTTGGTGTATCCAGGGAGATGCTCCCCCAGCAACATTTTGATGCATTTTTATTACATGTATATTATATCATTTTTTCTTGCCACCTCACAACCTTTATAAAGTACGACCCTCACCTATATTTTTGCCCATTTAAAAAAGTACCCATTTTGCTACCCCCTCCCCACCAAAACTTAAATTCGCTCTTAAGGGATGGTGACATGATTTTTATTTTTTTTTTTTTTACTTCGGACCATGTTTTTGTGCAACGCTCTGTTCGGGTTAAATGTACGACAACTATTTGACATCCTTTTTTGGTTAACGTTTTTTGAAAAGTTCACTTCTTTAAGCATTTACAATTTTCCATGTTTTTATTACAACCGAGGGCGCTGTTGTTGTGATGTCATCTTAGGGAGACACTGTTTAGTTCAGGGGTTTGCTTTCAAGTTGGTTGTGAACCCAAAAATATGGCTAATTGAAATCATTAATTTTGTGTTCATTACTTTTCGTTGTAATTGGAAAAATAGGCTTGGCTACGTGCACTTTTGAAAGTTGGTAGACTCTGCGTTTGCAATATCTGTCAATCTTTTCAAGACTGACAAGTATTAATAATATTGATATTCGCTTTATAAGCACTGTTTATTATAATTAATATTATCACCAAAGAACAGAAAATTTACGACAGCTAGTTTAAAAAACTCTGGATTTTTTTGGTTCTGGAATAACTGTAACGTTGAACTTTCTGCCCTAACTGACATCACACAATTGGTCATAAATATGGACATTTTCGTGAACATAAAAACCATGAGGGCACCAAATACCCTTGAAAATGGCAAAATGAAAATTAAAAATAAAGTGAGAAAGGACAAAGAAAATGTGCATTTTTTAAGGACTTCTCAAAACAAATTGGTGGGTCCTTTAATGTCCAACCCAAAACAATAACCAAATTATATCCTTGTTTGAAAAGTACTCAGTCGCCACAATTTGGTTAATACATGATTAATATTTTAAAGAAGTGAAACTTACATTGCCACCATAACCGTCAAACACAGCAGAAGCACGGCCTCCGAAGTCAACGTGGGTCGGCAAGATACCGCTGTCTACAACCCACATTTCAACCCCCTCTCCCTCCTCTGAAAGACAAACATTTCTTTTTTAGGTTGCTGATGTAAGCAGACTGATTTTGGAAGTAAATCTATTATGATTAATTATATGCTCGGTATGTATGGTTTACGCAACCAGCAACGCAGTTATTTTGGACCTATAGACCGTCAATGGCTTGTTCAATTGTCTTATTTGTTTCTTTTGTTTCACCACTTTTGTATCCGCGCTACATAGGCACCCCAACTATTAAAAATGTCTACCACCATTTGATGAAACGCTTGTTCTACCATAGATAATTGCTGCACGGATGAAACAACTACGGATAGTGCAACTCATAATCCACAAACCCGACTGAAGTTTCCAGGAGTGCTTTGAGCTATCAATCTATTATAAGTATCAAGATTAATTTCACACACCCAGTTGTCCACAACTGGCATTGTCCACAACTGTCATAAGATTTTCAACTCAAACATATTTTCAGATCAGTGTGAACACTTTCTAAGTATATGAAAGCTTGTCCACAACTCGGGAATCTCATTCATCAGCCTGGGTTAGGATCACACATTATTGTCTCATTGTCACTGCATTATCATTGATTAACTGTTTAAAAAACACAAGTCCCCTATGTTTCTAAAAAGACTATTGCAAGATCAGCTGTATATTAATCGAGCAATCAGGACCAACATTTACGGTGCCAAACGAACTATTTCTGTCCTTACTATATGCAGAGTTTGTTGAGAAGGAGCCATCAAGGGGTAGGTTTCTCTGTCCAATGCGGTCCAAGCCCCAGGGTTGGGCTGTTCCGTGCGCCAAACCGTCCTCAGACACGTACTCAACCTCATCCAAGGTTCGAATCTATCCAAGAAAAAATTTGAACTAATGTGGTTCTTGAAAAAAAACCGGTTCTACACTCAACCAACTGGTTCTTTTCAGGACCACACTTCTTCCAAGAAGAGATTTGTTTCCACATGGTGTTACCCGCAATTTTTTTACTTTATGAACTAAGTTGTGCCTTTCTGTCCAGGAAATTAACCAGAATCAACTAGTAACTGTTTGTTAATGCTTTAGGTTTCTGCGAGATTCGCAAAACGCAAGACACGTGGATTTTCTTCTGAAGTCCTTGTTGAGAGAATGCCAGATGAACTGTGTTGTAGTCAAGCACAAGTCCGGTTAACAGGGGGTCAAAAGTCCTTCCCTGCATAAGTCCAGTCACAACTTAGCATAACATGGGATGAACTACAACTTGAGGAATGCCTTTGTCGCAGTCCATTATTTTGAAAAGCGTGTGACTTGACTTTTACTGGAGGATTTGTGAGGACATGTGTAGGTTTTAACTACAACAAAGCCGATGGAAATAAACACAATTACAATTTCCATGACACTTATTCAACAGAAACTCGCTTTTTATGAATTTCTTCATCAAAATTAATTAAGATATTCCCCTGAAAATAGTCACATTGAACCATCTATAGATAAGAAACTGAAAAATGAATTGCAAATGAAATTCTTGATCATTCAGGAAATCTCACGTAATCGAGGGCTTCCTCCGATAGTTCTGCGGCCATGCCTTTCAAGACTTGGTGGTAGCGATGGGAGACGTCTGCGCGGCCCAAACGCCGCTGCTGCACACGGCGCTGGATGCCATCGGCAACGATATCCACGTCCACGTCATCCCTGAAACGAAACACACAAATTTCAAAATGAACAAAATAGTAAATGCCATACATAAATAATTTTCTAATAATATATTGCATTTTCTCATTTTTACTTGAATTTGATGAGGTAACGGCCTTTGGGGCTGTCATCAACTTTAAGCAGTGGAGCAATTCCAGCTGCAGCTACGCCAACCAACAACAGAAGAACCAATGTATGCATTGTTCAGCAGGTATATTAACACCAATGAACAGGTGCAGAAACACACCAGCCTTTTTATAAACTTTCAGCTATACAGGAATATTATCGCACAATTTAATCCTTATACCATATCATTTTTATATATTATTGAAAACAATTTTGACTACAGCTGTAATATCTCAAGCATATACGACGGATAAATTATTTATAGGCCTACTCCTATTTTTCTCTCTTTTTCATTTCTACAAGGGAAGATAAGAAAGTTAATAAGATATTAGTGAAGGGGGCGAACCTGTAAACACAGGAACGGAGGAACGGAGTGCCCATCTCTCTTCAAATAAACTTTCAGCTATACCAGAATATTATCGCACAATTTAATCCTTATACCATATCATTTTGAAATATTATTGAAAACAATTCTGACTACAGCTGTAATGTCTCAAGCATATACGACCGATAAATTATTTATCTAGGCCTACTCCTATTTTTCTCTCTGTTTCATTAGTACAAGGGAAGATAAGAAAGTTAATAAGGGGGCGAACCTGTGTTCACAGAAACAGAGGAACGGAGTGCCAATCTCTCTTTCGTTAGCGAATGGGCCAGACTCATTGCTGTGGGGGGAGGGGGTCGCAATACCTCCTCCACAACGAGTCTGTTACCTTCCCAGCATTGAATAATGGCGGTACCCATTTAACACCTGGGTTGAGAGGAGTAATTGAGGTAAAGCGCCTTACTCAAGGGGACAACACGCATGGCCACGGCAGGGCTCGAACCCACAACCTCACGATCATGAATCCTCAGCTCAACCGCTAGACCGCACGCGATCAGTTAATAATGTTAAAGATAAACAGCATAAAACGGTTGTCTAACCTTTATGATTACTTCAGAAATTATATTATGTACCCGGCAATTTGAAAATTCCTTGCATAAACAACAAAGAAGCATGGCTGTGTTACCAGTGAAATCTGTTGAACAAAGAAATTGGACCGGAAACCATATCTGAGTTGTACCAATTCAGCTTCACTTTAGATAAAAACATGGCCAATTCTCAGGCTGTTGCAAAAACGAAAGGTGACGGTCCAATCTTATCAGTTGGAATTGACGCAAACGAAACAAAATACCAAAGTCTGACAACTTTTTTCTCTAACCTATCTCGTGGACTTGTAACGTGCATTATCAAGGCTATCTGAAGCTTATGGTGGAAACCTATTGTTGATGATATGCATATTGTAATGCGTGTCACTTATTAACCTAAGCAACTGTGTTAAAGACCCCAGCAATTGGGGATGATCAGTTGCCTGCTGTTCTAGTATAGAAGTGGCGAGCATGCTCACGAGAATTGATGTGCCGGGAGTGGACATTTTGTTGGATTGGAACTGGGTGTTTTTTTGGGAGACTTTAACGGGGTAGATTAGGTGAGTAAGGCCCCCAAAGAGTCGCTGCTGCCATGCGCGTCGGCAAAACTAAAAAAAAAAAATCTCAATGTAAGGCCAAAAAAAAAAATATTCGGTCTCTGGTCAGACCAAACTTCCAGAATTGACGCGGCCACGAGGCTTTTTTTTTTTTTTTTTGCTTTTTTTTTTTTTTTTAAGCTTGGATTGTACAGACAAGGTGGGGTACTATTTTGCTTTTTTGGTGTCCTCATGTACATTGGTGTCCTCCATAATTTGCCTTGGTGCTTTCGATCATTTGCCTTGGTGCAATTTCCCATTCCTTGGTGCTCTTTGGTAAAAAAAAAATTGAGGAGGTGCGGAAATAGAGGGCGCTGTTGGAGCTACCGCGGAACATTTTGGGAAAAAAAAGATCGACGCGCATGCTTAAAATCGACGCGCGCGCTGACCAGAGACCGACTTATTTTTTTTTTTTGCCTAAGTTTGAAGTAGAAAAAAGTAGGGGGAAACAACCCGCTTAGCCGAACCACTTTTGGGGCAAGCTCTGTACCAGAAACCGGAGACCTTTATGTTGGCCTAAGGTTGATTGGCTTGCGGGTTGCAGGGGCGGATCCAGCTTTCATGGAAAAATAGGAGGGTTGATATGAAGGGGTGGGGATAAGTGAAAGCGTACTAAATGCACGCCATGCGATATGGTATGGGGGATCCGGGGCCAGGCATGCCCCCGGGAAATGTTTAAATCTAAGACGCTTTCTCCTGCAGTCTAAGCCAATTTGACAGTTAGGAGCTTTAGCATTCCATTTAGTGTTCCTAGTCAGCGGCTGAACGGGTGAGTGGCCGGGGGGGGGGGGGGGGGGGGGTTGCCATTGGATTGTGCTACCGGTCCAGTGTACGCGGGCTCAAAACTAGATATTTGAGTGGTCGGGTACAACCCGACCACTCTCTGTTATTGTTCTGGTAAATCTTTTCTTTTTTTTCCGGACAATAATTCTCCGCGGGTTTTCTCCTAAACGGTTCATGATATGAACTTGTAACTTTCAATATATATTGACCCTCATCCGAAGTGGTGCATATTACTCTGACGTCATGATGACGTCATCGGGTGTCAAATTACAAGCGATTTTAGCTGGAAAAGGGTCCAATTACTTTCACTCATAACTCTTGAACAAAATAATCAGTGATGTTTATATTCTGTCATCAGATAGACCATGAATTGATTAACATTTTTTTTGAGTACGTGAACTCAATTGACCCTTTCTTCCGGGTCAACCGGAAGGTTAAAGTTAGGTGAATTCAAAATGAAGACGTTAGCCTGACATCAAAACCAAGCAAAATCTCTTCCAAACGGTTCACGGTATGATCACAAAACCTTGTGTGAACTTTTTATTATTAAAAGCGGCATCCTTGCGACGCGTGTCTGTTGCTAGCCGCGCAGGCCGTGCAAGTTCGTGTAACTTATCCCCGTTTTCTTCTGTTATGGTGCCATCTCCTTGGAGATTGTAAGATCAGATACATAAATTGACGGGAAAAGTGCAGATGTCAGTCGCAGCCTGACTAATTTTATTCCCTGACAGACTGCAGATCACAATTTGTCTGTTTTAATCGGGTTGGCGCAGAAGTTCTTCCTGGCCTTTCACCTCCATGGCCCGAGTTCAATTCCTGGCCAGGTCCACATGTGGATTGGGTTTTCAGTCTTCTTATGGGGCTGCCGTTCAAATCGGAATATCATGGACAGTATCGGACAAAATGTGGTGCTTTTCAATCCGGCAAATTTGCCGACGGGGTGATGTTGCCGACAAGACAACGATTTTGCCGACAAAAACGATTAAGGGGGGGGGGGGGGGGGGAGGGGGGAGGGGGTCATATCCTCCATGCCCCCACCCTCTAGGGATGCTCGTGACAAGATTTTCTTTTTTTCCCCTGTGGAGTCGTCATGATCTCAAAACAGAATTTATGTCTACGGGCTCTTAACATGAACTATTATATTGGAGAAAAAACCCTGAAAACTAAGGAAGCTCCTTCGTCTTTGTTTAAAACACTTCACTGCCCACTGCCTGCCAATTAAGTTATCACAATGCTCTCTACAAAGTAAAGGCACACAACAGTCATGCCTGAGAGCCTTCACAGATGTCACATAAAAGTAGGCTAATACATGTAATTGGATATTGTCACCACTACATGTATGACGCCCCATTACTACATGCGTGACAATGCCAAATGACGCCACCGGTAAATTTCAATTAACTTGGAGCAATAACCGACCCCCGCACAAATTAGCCTGGAACATTAAATTCCGGTGTCTCAAAGAACACAACAAATATCCCAATTACTGCAGTATACCCATTCATGATTGTTTTTGCAAATTTAGCCCCCCGATCGCCTCATCCTGGGCTGGTGCTGCACTTTTTATAGCGGCAATGAATAATAATTGCCTTATATTGAACTTGTACATCATGTTGCAAAATATTCATAACTTAATGGACAGTGTTTCATAAAATAGTTGTCTACCCGACCACTCTGCGTTTGTAACAACAAACGCGAATCTCTAGGTTTTTTTTCCTTTTTCTTTGTACCATTAACATACCCACTGCGTTTAAGATCAGTAGAAGTTCACAGATCAATGGAGGTGGCAGAGCACTAATTATGAAAGGACTGGATCGTTCGGAGGATGTTTGAGAGCTTGAAAGTCAAATAAAAATTAACTGCGAAGGCAAATATTCAGTCACTGGTCGGTTATTTTACCACCAAAATTAACCTCGTTTGAATCAAGCTGCATGCTCTTGTAAACCGACTCTCTTACTTACTTACTTACTTAGGCCACGCCCACAAAATGGGTGACAGTTATGTTAGAATGTTTTATCTCATGTGCTACATATACAAATGTGTATAGTTTTTATTTATATTATACGACAATGTTGTGGTATAAAACCGCAATCAGAGAAAAAAATCTATACTTGATAATATTTTCAGTAAAAGTCAGATGCATTTGGAATATGGGGTATCCCACTGATCGTAATATTTTGGTCAATATTGAGACTTTCATGTACAACATTTGCTTTTGCTGCAAAATTCAGAAAATGCGGACTAACTAAATGCGAAAAATTAGGAGCAGTTTTTGAAAAATAATCCAGTTTTCTCCAAAGGGCCGACCAGTTTTGGAAAAAAAATACAAGTTTTCTTGAAAATGGCACAGCAGGAGCCACAATTTTGCAGGCTTCTATGGACCGTCATTCCCTAACAATCCAGTGAAATATTTCGTGATTATTTGATCATTTCGTTTTTTGATGTTTGCAAATGTTGTATCTTTAAGCATCACCCTATCAGAGAATATACCTGCAAAAAAAAGCAAGGACGTACCCGTGCCACCGCTAAAGTCTCAGTGATCGTAGATACGTCCAGTACGACACATTTTCACAAATAGATATACCAATACAAACAATTGCATACTAATTTAATGTTACGACAGTATTCAAACTGTTACATCAAAATGTCACTTTCGACCGTTTTGGTTCCTACAAGTTCTGAAACATAAGAAATGCATTATGTTCTCCCGGAAACGTAGAACCAAGAGTGCGTACAAAAACGGGTTCAACGTAGAGTTACACCACTTCAGATAGTTCACCACATCCCATGCAAGATCGGAGACACAGTCAGCACAAAAGGCGGTAATCATTGATGTGACGTAGAAAGGTAGCCATGATACCATGAAGACGCTCACCAGCACCGATAGAGTAATGGCAGCTTTGCGATGACGCCTGAACTCTCTGACTTCGTGGTTTTGAGATCTTCTAGAGTCCGGAGATTCGGCCGGTCCTGAAGGTTTGACCTCGGTTCTCTTCTCATCGGAGGTAGCATTTTTGATCTGAGAATTAGTATCCCCAATCTGCTCATCAAATCCCAGATTATTAAAGGCTCCCTCCTGAGTTAGTTCTATTTCCTTTCTCGCACCCTTATCACTCGGTTCGCTCCTTTCTTCTGGCAGCGCCTGAGCAGTGTTGTGCCCTAATCCTTGGCTTTTTGTGGTGAGTTCCAGTGTTACGTCTTTTTGATCCCTCTCACTACTTTCTGCTCTCTCGCCTGGAGATCTTGGTAACTTCACAGCAGCTAGTTGAACTCGGAATATGCCTTTGGATCTTCGCCTGATGTTGATGTAAACCATCGCATTAAGGTATGATGTTATAAACAGCGGAATGACAAACTCGGCAACAAATGCAAATGCATTATATGGAATGTTGTCATAAGGTTCCAGCTCACAATCGACATTATAATCTACGTTCCCAACGCCTGCCAAAGGTTCCCAAGCGAAATTTATTACGGTGTAAAACAGCAGACTGATCGTCCACGAAATAGCAATCATGGTAGCAGCGCGTTTGTGCGTCTGAAATGTACCGTAGGCGAGTTTCTTGGTCAGCAGCCAGTACCGATCGAGGCTGATGAACAGAATGGTGATTGGCTTGCGGGTTGCAGGGGCGGATTTAGCTTTCATGGAAAAAGAGGAGGGTTGATATGAAGGGGTGGGGGATGAGTGAAAGCGTGCTAAATGTACGCCATGCGATATGGTATGGGGGTCCGGGGCCAGACATGCCCCCGGGAAATGTTTAAATCTAAGATGCTTTCTCCTGCAAAAGCCAATTTGACAATTATGAGCTTTAGCATTCCATTTAGTGTTCTTAGTCAGGAGCGGCTGAACGGGTGAGTGGCCAGGGGGGGGGGGGGGGGAATTCGCCACTGGATTGTGCTACCCGGCCCAGTGTACGCGGGCTTTCTTTGTACCATTAACTTACCCACTGCGTTTAAGATCAGTAGTTCACAGATCAATGGAGGTGGCAGAGCACTAATTATGAAAGGACTCGATCGTTCGGAGGATGTTTGACAGCTGGAAAGTCAAATGAAAATTAACTGCGAAGGCAAATATTTAGTCACTGGTCGGTTATTTCACCACCAAAATGGACCTCGTTTGAATCAAGCTGCATGCTCTTATAAACCGACTCCCTTACTTACTTACTTAAGCCACGCCCACAAAATGGGTGAAAGTTGTGTTAGAATGTTTTATCTCATGTGCAACATATACAAATGCGTATAGTTTTTATTTATATTATACGACAATGTTATGGTATAAAACCGCAATCAGAGAAAAAAATCCATACTTGATAATATTTTCAGTAAAAGTCAGATGCATTTGGAATATGGGGTATCCCACTGATCATGATATTTTGGTCAATATTGAGACTATCATGTACAACATTTGCTTTTGCTGCAAATTTCAGAAAATGCGGACTAACTAAATGCGAAAAATTAGGAGCAGTTTTTGAAAAAATCCAGTTTTTTCCAAAGGGCCGACCAGTTTTGGAAAATATACAAGTTTTCTTGAAAATGTCAGCACAGCAGCAAAAGCCACAATTTTGCAGGCTTCTTTGGACTGTCATTCCCTAACAATCCAGTAAAATATTTCGTGATAATTTGATCATTTCGTTTTTTGATGTTTGCAAATGTTGTATCTTTAAGCATCACCCTATCAGAGAATATACCTGCAAAAAAGGCAAGGACGTACCGTGCCGCCGCTAAAGTCTCAGTGATCGTAGATACGTCCAGTACGACACATTTTCACAAATAGATATACCATATCAACAATTGCATACTATTTTAATGTTATGACAGTATGCAAACTGTTACATCAAAACGTCAATTTCGACCGTTTTGGTTCCTCCAAGCTCTAAAACATAAGAAATGCATTATGTTCTCCCGGAAACGTACAACCAAGAGTGCGTACAAAAACGGGTTCAACGTAGAGTTACACCACAACAGATAGTTCACCACATCCCATGCAAGATTGGAGACACAGTCACCACAAAAGGCGGTAATCATTGATGTGACGTAGAAAGGTAGCCATGACACCATGAAGACGCTCACCAGCACCGATAGCGTAATGGCAGCTTTGCGATGACGCCTGAACTCTCTGACTTCGTGGTTTCGAGATCTTCTAGAGTCCGGAGATTCGGCCGGTCCTGAAGGTTTGACCTCGGTTCTCTTCTCATCGGAGGTAGCATTTTTGATCTGAAAATTAGTATCCCCAATCTGCTCATCAAATCCCAGATTATTAAAGGCTCCCTCCCGAGTTAGTTCTATTTCCTTTCTCGCACCTTTATCACTCGGTTCGCTCCTTTCTTCTGGCAGCGCCTGAGCAGTGTTGTGCCCTAATCCTTGGCTTTTTGTGGTGAGTTCCAGTGTTACGTCTTTTTGATCCCTCTCACTACTTTCTGCTCTCTCGCCTGGAGATCTTGGTAACTTCACAGCAGCTAGTTGAACTCGGAATATGCCTTTGGATCTTCGCCTGATGTTGATGTAAACCATCGCATTAAGGTATGATGTTATAAACAGCGGAATGACAAACTCGGCCACAAATGCAAATGCATTATATGGAATGTTGTCATAAGGTTCCAGCTCACAATCGACATTATAATCTACGTTCCCAACCCCTGCCAAAGGTTCCCAAGCGAAATTTATTACGGTGTAAAACAGCAGACTGATCGTCCACGAAATAGCAATCATGGTAGCAGCGCGTTTGTGCGTCTGAAATGTACCGTAGGCGAGTTTCTTGGTCAGCAGCCAGTACCGATCGAGGCTGATGAACAGAATGGTGATAGCGGCAACGTTGGTGGAGGTGTAGTCCAACACGAGCCATATCTGACAGGGGACTTTCCCCAAAGGCCATCGGCCCAAGACAACGGCTGCAGCATCCACAGGCAGCGACACTGCCCCAATGATCAAATCACAAATGGACAAATTCAATATAAACATGTTAGCGACAGATGACCTTATGCGCCAGTCCCTGATGTATGCCGCAATCACCGAAATGTTGCCAATGACTGTCACTATAGAGAGGATACCGAGAACGATTGAAATAGATATCGTCCTGGCGAGGCAAAACACGGGTGTGTCCTCACTGCACACGCCGGTTAGTGTCTCATTGTTCTCGTTCGACATGTTGTTAGGACGGATGGCAATGATGCTGTACATGTAGATGTTCGTCTGGAAGTAGTCATTAACTTCCAACCTAGGGTGAAAGGTGGACCAGCTAAGCCAATATCTCCAGTGCTGCATACTCTGACATCCTCATAATGCACTGCTCAACTCACAACCACCTAATCGTTTTCCCAGTATCGACCTCGGACTCACGTTTACTACATCACACGTACGTTTCACGAAAATCATTTGACCAAAATGGTAGACTTAATTGTTCCTTCCTGGTGATCATTATTCGTATGGCAACCGCGATTGATGGTCGTCAGCGATAATATCATGATTGACTACAATCCATGATCGCCATAATTATTATTTGAACAATAATTCAGGGATCTCTAAAATATTGTGGCTTCCCTTCAAGTAAACGTGCGCGTTTTACAACCGCATGAAAAAGGGCTACGATGGCAAACATTAATATCACTTTACTAAATTGTTCGTTCAAAGCCTTCTCCCTATCGTGAGTGGGCGGACGACGATTTATTAAAGTCAGTGTGCGCAAAACATTCACCTCATTATTATGTCATTCATAACCAAAATTGACGGTCTTGATTAATCAGTTTTAGACATGTTGGTCAAAATTATCTCTTTAATCATTGCGATGGCGTCAGTGCGTATAAAGCATCGGTAGTTTTGCTCGTGTCTACGGTAACTATGGCAATGTATTCTCTGATAGTCTTATAACTATAGGGTTAAGCTGCTAGGGGCACCTAGGAGTGTGGTCCGCTCATAAGTCCGACGCCTCATAGGTCCGACGCCTCATAAGTCCGACGCCTCATAGCTCCGACGCCTCGTAGGTACGACAAATTAAACGCCTCGTTTTTCCGACGTCAGACTTATGAGGCGTCGGACTTATAAATGAGGCGTCGGACTTATAAGGCGGAATATATCAATTTTATGCCTCATAAGTCCGACGCCTCATAAGTCCGAAATTTCGGAAATTTCGGACTTATGAGGCGTCGGACCTACTGAGACGTCGGACTTATGATACTGCCCCTAGGGGTGCACCAATTTTTCTAGAGGGCACTGAGGGCAATGTATATAGTGTTTGTGTGCAACTTGATTTAAAAACGTTTTCATCGCACTGAGCTATGGGGGGCACGTGCCCCTCCTCCCTCCCTATTGTTGGTGATTATGGTGACATTGTGTACTCAGGTCTGCTTGATGATATGCAACACCATCGATGGGGTTACCTTTAGGTTTTCCCGGCCAATTTCCTAAAATATTCATTCACTTCTAAAAATCGGTCATTCCTTTTCGTCTGAATTTGAGAATCGCTCTGAATACGCATTCCATATTCACTACCAGAGCATTCGATTCCATTTCAGTTCAATCAATTAAGCGATTGAGCAGCACCTTTCGTTTATGTCCATTCAGATTGTTTACAAGACTTCTTTTTCGCTTTTAGTGGGCGAATCCAAACATTCATCATTCTATTTCACTTTTAGGTTAATGCCATCGGCGCCGGATACATTAAGGCCCTGTCACACTGTCTTCGATCTTATAAGCACTCTCACTGCGTCCTTGAAAAATAACTGGGGCGCAACAACAACTACTAGATCGCAGCGACAACTACATAGGCCGCCATATGGGCGCCAGAGGGTCTCCGATGAGCGCCAAGGTCTTTGAACATGCTCAAAACAATCGCAACACTTCTGCGCTCTGGCCAGGGAGCCGTAATGACAGACGCAACTTGGGCGCTGTGCGAGCGTGAATCGTGCGACATTGAAGTGGCATTGAGGCAGCCTAGGCGCAAGACAGTTGATGTAGTCTCCATGAGAAAGTAACTCGACTGCGCACTTGTAGAATAATTTTGAAAGTGTGTAAAGACCGTTTTGTCTTGGTATTTACACAGCGCAAGTGACGTCACATGAACGTATTTTGGTCGAATAGAGAGCGCGACGCGAGCTACAAGGACAACAGCGAGCAGAGCGTAATGTGAGCACAGTGACAGCGCAGCGGCAGCGACTAGACCGAGTGGAACTTGACAAGGGCGCATAGAGAGCGAGTTGAGCGCATCGTAAGCGCGGGAAGAGCACAGTATGAGCGTAGCTTGAGCTTCTTTGAGACAGAAAGTTTTCATTTTCTTGCGTCCTCGCTGCGATTGTTAAATTTATGAAATATTTTTGGTCGCCGTAAGTTCTCCTATGAGATCGCATGTAATGTGACAGGCCCTTTAGGGATTTCTTTTGCATTAACCATCAGTCATTATTAGCTCTACCTGAAATCAATTAAGAAAAGGTATGCTTGCGTAAATGAATGCACAGGTAACGTAATTTGCCGTCTGTTTCTCAAAACGGACAATGAAAACCATTGAACTTACGTTGAATTGAAATGGAATTGTAGATGTGCATTCAAATCAGACGAAAGTGATTGACCGATTTTCAGAAGTGAATGAACATTTCAGGAAATTGGCCGAGAAACCTACATTAACCGGAAGTACTTACCCAATTAATACCTCTCCCTCACAGACTAAGGCATCATAATAATCTTGGTCCAAAAACTGGATTTCAGTCGATCATTTTGAACCAAATGCATGCCAGTCCCAGTTGAACTCGGAATATGCCTTTGGATCTTCGCCTGATGTAGACCATCGCAGTCAGGTATGATGTTATATATAGGTTTTCCCGGCCACTTTCACGCCATTTAATTTAACGCCTGGCTCATTCAATTTAGATCGGAATTGAAAGATTATGCAGATCGGCATTCGACAATCAAAAAGAATCATTCAATTTCCCTATCCGAGCATTCTATCGCCTTTTAGCTTCACTCGTCCTTATCAAAGATGCATTCATATTAAAAGTTTTGCGTTGTTCATGGTCAGGGGTTGATCGGGCATTCGTTTTCATTAATGGGCAAACATATTTCACATTTTGTCAAACATCTTTGAAGACTTCATACGTGTCCGTATTCCTTAGCGTAAATCACATTTGATGTTTCAATCCGTAGATGCCTTTCTTTCTTATTTGAAGGGTATGTGCAATGACTTTTTCTCAGGACTTCTTATTGTGCAACTCTTTACTACTGTGAAATGTAAGAAAACTACACATTTGACTTTGGGGGGGGGGGGGTAATCTTGCTGCAAAATTGCACTTTTGAAACTTTGTCCATGCTTTTCCGGACTACGTATGAGCGCGCTGTTACTGTGATGTCATTTCAGGAAGACATTGTTCAGTTTACAGGTTTTTTCTTTCAAATTATTCATCCACAATTTGCTAATTGAAAACATTTGTGGGAAAGGGTTGGTCATTGGCTTACTGCCATGTACTGACACATCATATAATCACCATAACAAAGAAATGTATGACAGCAAAATATCCAAAATTCTAGCAACTTTTTTTACTGAAATAGTCGTGTAACATTAATCATGCCCGGAATGCCATCACAGGTTTTCTAATGAATATGAAACTTTGCATTAGCATAAAGACGGAGAAGGCACCAAAACACCCCTCAAAATGGAAAATAAAACTTGCAAATAAGGTTAAATGTGACACAAAGATGTAATTTCAAGGTTTGCATTGAAAACTGACTTTGCATGGGCCCTGTGAATACGGTAAGTGTTCGACCAGACATACGTCCGCAATAAATAATTTAAGAAATAACGCAAGAGAAGTGTTCCCGATAGTACAACCATTGCCAAACATTACGTGTCGCCATGTCTTGCACGTCAAGAAATCGTCAACGTAAAGATGTCCCTTACTCAAACGTTTAAACAAGTCAGAAAAGATCAACAGTGAATAAGAAATTATCTTAGTCCCTTTCAATTAATTAATTCGTAATTACATCTTGTTTCCCTCATATCGGTTAATTTGTAACATTGTAAATTTTCGGTCATCAAGATTTTGGGGGGAAAATGAACCTCGGAGAAAAATACGAAAATATATCGATTAAAAAATCTTACTAATTTAAATAACCAAACGATGAAAGCGATTGCCCATAAACGAATAAGAAACGAAAAGCATGGTTATACGTTACAAGCGCACAGATGTTTGCTAATTTGAATGCGTCAACCGTCAAAAGGTTGCAAAGACTTACTTTAAGACTGCTACAAGTTAAGTCTTGAATGCGCCAAAACGAAATAGGCTGCCTAGAAATGAAATTGAATGAACCCAAAATAATAAAGGAACCCCAATTTGACAACATGTGCAAAACTCTCGCGAAATCGAATGGCTGATAATGAAACTGATTAGAACAATTCGGAAATTCGCCGGGAAAACCTATTAACCGTGGAATGACAAACTCGGCAACGAATGACCGATTTTCAGAAGTGAAAGAAAATTTCAGGAAATTTGCCGGGAAAACCTACATCAAAAACCTGCTGTCTCTTTGCCTTCTATGGTTTTTAGTTAGCTCTCACACTTAAAGTGACACGTACGTGACCTATATACAACCAATGAGTGCGCATTTACACGCGTTTTATTACGGGAAGCCTCCTAAGGGTCACATTATATGCCGAGTTTATTTATTTTGCCGGTGGCATATTAAATTTGGACTCCTCAAGCCGTGTGTCTCTTACCTTAATGCATCTAACGCGCACATTTCACCTAGCCATTGTCCCAGGGCTTAGTCATGCGCAAGAGTTTGTATTTCACAGAAACCCAATTTCACACACCGGCTAGTTTAGCCAGTGTATATAATACGGACGTAATCATAAAGTACTTTCACGATTTCAGATGGGCTGCCGCGGGCACAGTCGAAGTGGCGAAAAGTGTTGTCTCGTCCAAACTATTAAAGCAAAAAAACCCCAAAAACCAAGGAGGATTTGGGAAATTTTTGAGTGGCCAATGATAGATCCAAGAATGTTTTCAAATATCCAACCAGGGGCGGTGGAACCTGCGGGAGGGGGGGGGGGCACTCCCCCTCCCAGATTTACCCAAGTTCCCCTTTTGCGGGAATAAATGTGCCCCCTCCAGATGAAAACAAAAACTTCCCGAAAATTTCGGGAAATAGTTCTGATGTGAACGAGGAATATGAAAATGAAGCCCCAAAACCCCTACAACTATTAATGCAGTCTTTTGCATGACAGCCGGTTTTGAAGAAACGCCCCCTATTTTAGAAGATGCAGCCCCCCCCCCCTACATTTCAACACGGATGTGCCGAAAAAATGCTGAATAGGCCCTACGCCTGCTGCACACAGGGAAGATATCTTTTACTGAGCAAGTGCCCCTTTTTGGTGATGCCCCCAGTTTGAAAACCGTTCCGTCAGCGTTTTGAATACTATCATGATTGGCTACAATCCATGATCGCCATATAATATTTGAACAATGAGGGATCTCTAAAATATTGTGGCTTCCCTTCAAGTAGGCCTATACGTGCGCGTTTTATAACCGCATGAAAAAGGGCGACGATGTCAACATTAATATCACTTTATTAAATTATTCGCATAAAGCCTTCTCCCTATCTTGAGTGGGCGGACGAGGTTTTGACGGTCTTGATATCATTAATCAGTTCTAGACACGTTGGTCAAAATTATCTCCCAGTTTGAAAACCGTTCCCGGCCGCCGCTGCATCCAACGCTTTCGAGCAATTTTTTCCAAGACGGCGGAAGCAACTAATTTTCTCAATATTACCATCACTTTTGTAAGAGTCTGGCTTTTCGACCTCAAATGACTACTCATTCATATTGGAAGCATACACTAATAAGACACAATGATCTGAAAGTATTATTTCACCGTTTTTAAACTTGACAATAATTTGATGCGGTAGAAATTGTTTTTGATGCGGACGGCTGATTTCGATCACACCAAAAAAAGTCGTGTCGTGGCGTTGGCAGTTTATTACCATCCGTAATTTTTGTCCCTCTTTTTTCCCCATCGAGCTACTCGTATACGATGGAGGAAAAGAAGAACACTCATTGTTTTCAAAGTCCACACTCATGATCATGACTCATCCAAGTTAACCAAAAGAGGGCGTCCTGCAGATGACGTAATGGTCCAAAATATCAACAACAAGATTTGTCTGGAATCCAGCATCGTGAATGCCAGATAGTTGCATGAGCTGACAAAACTTCAGGTAACCAGACTAAATGCTGATACTCCTTCCGAAAAGTAAATTGCATGAATTACAGCGATGGCGACGACGGAAACTACGACGAGGAATCCCAGGCAAAATGTGAGCACTGGAACCGTTATTTTCTTTTTTGAATGCCAGATAATTGTAAAACGTAAGCCTACCTATTCTTCTGTGTTCAAGCAACAAAGTCAATAGACTAGAGCCTGAAACTGAAGTTGCAAAATCACGCAGTCAAAACACTGACACAGGCCACAGCTTCCGGAACTCTCGCTCGCGGCCCCATACAGTCGTTTTCCTACCAATCCTAGTTCCGGATTTGTCCTAGTTCTTTTGGATTAGTCTCCAATAATTTTTATTTCTGACGATGTGCATTTTGAAAAGGAAAGTGTAAGCTCCTTGATACATAAAGACTTTTCCGATAAAATCTGAAGAAGAGGAATTTTTGGCCAGATTTCTGGCTCCCACTATTTTGCCATGTTTGCCCACTTCGAAAGTCTGCATGTCTGGTTCCAACAGCCAAAAATTCATTAGGTCAGGGAAGCCAGATGGTTCCGTAACGATAGCAGTTGAAAATCGCATTTCCGGTAACAATAGCCACTACGTTTGACATTGTGTTCCCCATTATCTGCTGTAGTTTTTGGCCGAATGATTTATAAATGTACCCACCCCAAGAAACACTTGTGTTGGCTCTCGATGTACAGGTGAAATTGAGAAAAAAAAAATCACTTGGAAATGGGTAAAAATAAATTTCATTGACAAGCTTTTAGTAACATCTGGTGTTGTTTGTTTCTATTTCATATTTTTAATATATTATATTCTTAATGAGATTGAGAGACGACAAAATGTAATTTCCAGTTTTGGGTTTTAATACAGTTCTATTTATCTCTTGTCTCCTTGTTCATATTGTTCAATATAGAGGGTAAACAAACCGGGCAATTTGAGCACAAACCATTGCATGGACCGTTAGCCAATTGAAACTTCAATTCGATGCCTCCTCCTTATATCAAGAATTTAGTGATCAACTTTTCACACATTGTGCAGTGGTAATTGGAAATATAATTACTGAACAAATCATGTTCAGAGCTTATCAGAATGAAAAAAAGTTTTGGGGAATCCCTAGATAGTGTCATTACTTATGATATTATAACCTGCTAATGTTGGCCAATCAAAATTGAGATTTCAAGCCAACGCCTCTAAACACTGACCAATCATAATCGTTCTTTTGGCCTGCTGACAGGAGCCTTGAAAAAAATTCAAGTTTATCATTAGTGGCCTTTTCTAATTTTTTTTCTTCTCAAGTTTAAAGCTATAGTCCATCATTTGTAGTTAGTGCATTTTGTTCGTTTGAAGCAACAAAAGTGTTCAAAATCTGATGAAGGATCTGAGCAACTAACCTGATGAAGTTTCAGCTAAGCTTCAGCTGTACATTCTGAGAAAAGCAGCATTCTAAGATCTCAATTTCAAATCAAAAGTTACTGAATCATGTTTTGAATTGTTTTGAATTGCAGCTATACGCGGCGTCGCGCACTGATCCGACGAATTATAACAACCGCGCGCGCGTGTGCATCGTTCCAATACTTGTGCGCGCTGCGCTGAATAACAAAACGAACTACTAATTTAAATTTTCCTACGGTGCTTCTTAAGAATCACCGTTGGAAATGCCTTCTTTCGTTGATTACTTCAAAACTACAGTTTCCCAGAAAGAATAATTTCACAGGGAGTTTAGTTCCCTTACTATCTTTCAACCAAGTTTGTTTTTCAACAGTAATTACGCCAGTTACTTTTCGGATGGCTGCAAATGATGGACTATAGCTTAAAAAACACAGCATATACATGTACATGTAGGCCTACTTCACTTACATGCAGACCCTTTTACTCAATCCGACTTTCTTTTACTCAGGTGATGGTCGGGGACCTTCCTCCAGACTTCCTGCGCATCCAGGGGGTCAGCGGTGCCCCCGCACAAAACAACACTCAAATATCTGCCGACGAGCAGACAGCACGAGCCCTACAATATGGTCAGGCTGGCGTACAGGTGGCTGGTGGGCCATGCATCGGCAGGCTGAGCATCACAATAGTACAGGTATGGTGTTGGAGGATAGCTAAGGCTGTGTCCCAAAGTTGTGGCTGCGGCTGGAAATAACATGTGTGCCTATGGAAGCCACTGGCTTGTGGCTACAGCCACTCCCCATAGACGTGTGTGTGTTACTCCCAGCCGCAGCCAGTTGATACGGCCTAACACTGCATCCATTACTGATATTTTATGGCTACGGTGTCTGTTTTAGCCATAGGTGTGGTACAGTAAATATCTGTTGCCACAGAGAATAATGTTCATTTGGATACAGCCCAAGTCTTCATCACTGACTTTCTTGCAACAAGATTGGGTGTGCATGTAGCTTAAGACTGTGTTATGTGCTCAATATGGCAAATGAGGCAAAACATTAACGTACATTCCTAAGGCCAATTTTTGGCAGGTTTTGTATGACATACTGATTCACACATTCAGCATAGAAATACCGGTGTTGTAGTCGAGTCGAGTCCCCTAAATAGACCCCTACCCACAAAGATTTGAGCTCTTGAATTAGAAGAAATGTTTATGCACAAAGCTGGCACAGTTATTAGAGAAATGTACTTTCAGAAGGAGTCTGAGTCCTTGTGCAAACTCTCACATACTTATTGAACAGTTCACATGTAATTATTGCACTCTGACAAAGACTTAACTGCAACACTGGCCAAAAATATGTGCCGCATATCAAGTTTTACCCAATACATGTGTAAAGAACTAAACTTTTTAGTCAAATCCTGTATACGGGTTGGCCACATTACGAACTTGTAATGATCCAGTTGAAGTAATTCTCATATGTAGACTGCAAAGTGTTCAATTTGGTTATATTGCTCAAACTATTTCTATCTCCATTTACTGCAGGCCAAGCTAGCCAAGAACTACGGCATGACGCGCATGGACCCCTACTGTCGCATCAGGGTCGGCCACGCCGTGTTTGAGACGCCTACTGATCTGAACGGCTCGAAAAACCCCAGGTGGAACAAGACCATTCAGTGCAACGTACAGCCTGGGGTAGAATCTGTGTACTTAGAGATTTTTGACGAGGTACGTAGCAAAGGCGGGTACCACTAGTGGCTTATCGTGGTATATTTGGTATTGAGAACAGGAAGCTCGTTCGAAAGATTTCAATTTTTGCGCTTTGCTGTGTCGTACTTTCCCTTCTTGTTGTCTGGGGCCAATTTCCAGGCGCTGCTAAGCACAAACATTTTCTTAGCACAAAAAAAAGTCTGGCTTATAAAAGCCGGTTACCAGCCAAAACTCCATCTGATTTTTATGCTAAGCAAACAACAGCTGAATACTAATCACGAGCAATATACATCACGTGTAGTTTTGGCTGGTAACCTGCACATTTTGTGATTAGCAGCGCGGTGAAATTTACCCCTGATTGACTGAAATAACAAGGAAGCCCCAATCACGCTGAACATGTATGTCATTAAATCCGAGGCAGGGTCTAAATCTTTTGCAGATGTCACATCAGTTGAGTCCAGGTCGCCGAAATGGCAACTCGAGACCGACTCAAGTCGGAGAACACTGCCATATGTCAATTGATATGCAATAAATAGGCATGGGATGTAAAGGCAACAGATCAGTCCGAATTTCTTTTTTTTTTTAGTTGGGGAAGGGGAACTTTACAGTAAATTGACGTATAGTGGGTGAGAGGAGAGGGTTCTTTCTAAGCCTGTCGCTTATTTTCCCTCAGATTTTTGGATATGGCTTTGAAAAAAACCCAAAAGATATATATTTTGTAACACGTCAACAAAATATTGCATTAAATTGTAGTTAAAACTGTTTAAAATTTGCCAGAAACTTTGATCAGATCCCTCTGTTTTTGTCTTTCTTCAATTTCTGAAGAAATCCTTTGGAGCTGACTATCGCATTGCGTGGAATCACATCCAGATCGCGCCGTCTGTATTCCAAGGTGAAGTCAAGGATGACTGGTACCCGCTAACTGGTAAACAGGGAGACGAGAAGGAAGGCATGATCAACATTGTGCTGTCTCATCAGGTAAGAAACAAGAGAGAGAAAGGCTGTGCCTGAATGACTTGGCTATGGCTAGTAGTAACACTCATGTCTATGGGGAGTGGCTACACCTGCTTCCATAGGCGCGTGTGTAATTGCAAGCCGTAGCCATGTAATTCACATGCAGCCAAAGATGAGGTTATGAATGGGTGCATTGATCTCTTTCAGATTAGATTCAGGTTGTAATTGACCACAAATTTAACCTGGGTAAACAAAAAATTTGGAAACTCCCATAACCCTAAACCTTCCAGACGCAACAGTGCATCAGGTGGAAAAGTCTGGTGCACTTTGATGCATTCAGTTACCAACAACAGTGCATAAACAGCCGCTTCTGAGACAATGAACAGCTAGTCCCATAGAACAAAGCCACAGTTGTATCCTGCTGCGTTCAGGGACCACAGACCAGGGACCATAGACTCTGAGGCAGTTTGGCCTTGAGACTTTAGGCCTGATGGATCTTGCTGCACAGGGCAGGCTTGTTACTTAGACAAGTGTTGCATGTTGCTGCGTTTGGCAGGATTTCTAGCCCAAATACCCTGGAGGGATAAAACAAAATTGAAAACAAATGTTGTCTTTTCCACAACCCTTTCACATAGACCGATCTCAGGCTCTTTCACTAGTTAAAACTATTGAAGCATGATAATTTGTATGTCAATTAGGGCTGCCCGAATATACCAAATATTCAAATAGCTTTCTGCCGGTTTGAATATTGAAAAAAAAATAAACAAAAATTACACACGTGCACACACGACAATGATGTTATTTCAATCGTAAATTTGCGGCGCTTTATTGTCAGATTGCACTTTTTTTCGTAGGCGTTGGTTTGTTCCCATCCTTTTAGCAGGTTAAAAACCTTAACACTTTTAAAATACCTACATGTACTGTAAAACATTCCAGCAGTCCATGAGATAGATCGCTGCAAGCAAATTTAACCGGCGCGTTTTGCGTGCAACTTTTGACCGGTGTGGTAGGCATTTGCATCTGGCGTGTGCAAAACTTGATCAGAGAGTTTCAAATAATGAAATATTCGGTGACATGCAGTTCTGAATAATCAAATACTACATTTTTCTAAAATGGACAGCCCTGATGGAATGGAGTTATTATTATTTTTTTTTTCTGACAACAGCAAGTTCAGCAGATGCCGATGTTTGCACCTCAAGTTGTGTACGGTGCCCCCCAGACCATGGTCATTCCAGGACCCTATGGCTATGCCCCTGTTGCGCCTAACATGATGGGTAAGTCTATTGTAGGCCTAGTGTTTTAAGAAGGGATGCTACAAGTACAGTAACATATCACTTTGGCTATGCTCTGTATCAATTATTTAACTATGTGTTAAAGCATACAAATTAAGTTTTCACTTCACATTTCAGCACCGATATATAGGGTCATGTTTCTCCCAAATCTATCTATCTATCTGACCTTATGCAAGTAGTTTAATACCCCACCCACAGATTGTGTCTTTTGATTGGCTGAGAGTACATCACATGGTATTCGCTAATGCTAAGTAGTTACCGTGCATGACCAAACTGACTATACCATTGCAGCATCAATCTGAAAAAGTACTATATGCCTCAAGCAGCACAGCAATCAAAGGTCTGTTTGCACCGTGTTGTAGTGGATTCTATCACAAATCCATCACTAGCTTGGTCAAAAGTAAATTGCAAGTCCTTTCGCAAGTCTAGTGACAAGTATCAGTTAAAGGTAGAGTAGATCATTTGCAGCTATCCAAAAAGTAACTGACAAATTATTGTTAAAAAGCTTACTTGGTTTAAAGATGTGGATGGAAATAAACTCCCTGTGAAATTATTCCTTCTGGCATGCTGTCATTTGAAGAAAACAATAAAAAAGGCCATTTCCAAAGATGTGTCATTTGACTCATTTTTTGAAATTTCATTAGTAGTCGGTTTGTAATTTGGCAAATCCGTGAATGGGTACGCACAAGCGTTGAGGCGAAGCACACACGTGCACACGGTTGCCATTATTCGTCGGTTCAGTTTGTGACATTGCGTCGTTGCAATCCGCTGAATGAGAACTTTTCCTGGACGCTGATTTCGGGCGCAATTAAACAAATAACTCTGCAACGTTTGAATTGAAATTGAGATCCTAGAATATTGTTTTCTTGGAATATTACAGCATTCACAGAGCTAAAACTTCATCGGGTTAGTTGTTAAGCACCCATCTTTAGATTTTGAGGACTTTTGTTGCTTCAATTGAAAACAAGTGCACAAATGATCTACCCTATCTTTAATGAGCAATAAAAAAAATTGACTTGAGTTGAGGCTGTAGGACTTGTGAGGACTCGTGAGGACTTGTGATGGACTAGACTACGTCACAGTCCAAAATTGCCGTAGCACTCTATGCTTTTATGAATTCATCAGGGACTAAACACAATGTAATACAATGCAGTACAGGTGCTAACGGGTTAACATTACCGACACTGTGGCTGTGTTTATCTCCCCCAGGCTATCCTCCCCAGGCCGTGCCTCAACAACCCCATCGCCAACCCAGCCAGGTCCGCGTGCCACCCCAGATCACGGAGGAAGACGTGGCCGGTCTGAAGGACATGTTCCCTGACATGGAGAGCGAGGCTATCAAGTCGGTCCTAGAGGCCAACAACGGCAACAAGGACGCTGCCGTCAACAGCCTCCTGGCCATGAGCAGCTAAGAAAATCTCAATCTCATCTTTACCAAGTCCTCAAATAGTTATCCTCATTTAAACCCTATCCCTCTAGCGTATGTTGGCTAGCAAGCCTGCTAAATGCAATAACGTGCACCATTTGTCAAATGGAGAAGCCTTCAGAGTGTGAATTCAGTGTCGGGTTTAGCTCTTCACTGACATATTTTTTGTTTTGTTTTTATAAACACTGTTTACTCGGTGTAGTCTCGAGTGATTGTGAGAAAAAAAATCACAAACCACTCGGGTGGGACTCGAACCCACGACCTCCTGCTTACTTAGTGGGGACATCTTACTACTCGACCATCGAGCTTGCCGGAGTCGGCTGGCTGGTTCGAATCTGATATAGCAGTCGGTACCGCAACCAAACTATTCATAAGTGAAGCGAGATCCATTAGGTCAAACAATTTCAAAGCCAGGCTGCCCCGGAGCAGGATTTGACTGTACTGAACTAGCTTTATAGTTGTCTGAAAATTTGCAGTTTATGCAACAGACTTTTACACGTGCTGCACGGTTTTGCCTCTGGCAGGGTTATGATTAAGGATTGGCTCGTAACTGTCGTGGATGCAAATGCAATTTCAAAAAAATTAAATGCCATGAATAACATAACCGCAAATTTTGCTGGCATGTGTTTGCCTTTTGCATACGTGTAGTTGCAATGTGAACACTCACTGCGACATCAAAACTTCATGTGTGCATTCATTTCCGTGCCGAGCATGAACAAAATGGTCTTATACAAAAAGCTCTGTAAGACAGAACCAGTCATGTTTGCATTATAAATTTTGCTAGCACTTAAACATTGAAAACTTGTTCAACACATAACAAACAGGCTGAAATTTCTATATCATCTCCCAGAAGTGAACAATAATAATCATAAAAACAAGCTGATTTTCAGTTATAGTCTGAAAAGGTTCCGGAACTTGTCCGAAACGTGTCCCAGATATGAATTGAGATAGGCAGTAAGCAAATAAATCCAACAATAAAAGTTTAAGGAAGGAAATTTATGTACAGTAAGATGCAATCCACTCGGCAAATTAACAGAATTTGACATACATGTATGTATCAGATTATTCAGATAATATGAGAAATTTATTTGACGCAAAGCAATTTTTTTTAATATAATTTTATGTAGATCTCATTTAGAAAGGGCTGCAAATATTTTGGTTTGGCGTGTCTGATATTGTTATTTCTAAGTTTCTAATATGTAAAGATGTACATGCTCTCCTTTCATGAAGATGTTTAACCATATGGGTAATTCTGTAAATTTGGGGTCCACTTTTTTCCGTTCGGAGACATCTATGATTTTATTATTCTGCAGCACTCATCCCAGAGATATTTGGAATAGCAAACAATCTACACCAAAATAGAAAAAAAAAACTCATTTGAAGTCATTCTTAATGATTCTGGAGGGGCCTCTTGGCCGAGCGGTTAGAGCGTGGAGCTACGGAGTGGAAGGTTGGCAGTTCGAATCCCATTCGGACCAAAAACCGGAAAAACTCTAACGACCCAACAGTAAAATGGGTACCTAATTTGTTAAGGGAAGGTAAGACGGCGAGAGGAGAGGACTGGGCCCCGCCACTCATATGCCGCGCCCAAGACACAGTGGACCTCTAACATCCCACTGCCCCTACGGCCAGTAATGGCTATGGGTACCTTTACCTTTTTTACCTTTTAATGATTCTTGAATGACAAAATACAAAGTACCAAGGTAACGAGGACAAGAAAAAAATGCCACACTTTGTACCCCGAGTTTACAGAATGACCAATATGGATGTTTCTGTGCATGTTGTAGTGGTCTGTGTTCAGCTGTGATTTACCTTCTTCAGTTAGCCGTACTTTACCATTATGTTTAATGAAATTTGCATCCTTAAGAATTTCTTCGATAGTTTAAGGTGCTACTTATAATGGTAGAGTTGTTCTGATATTACCTTGTCAGAAATACTGCCCAAATGAACTACTGTGAAGTAACCTAGAGACATGATGTCCCGCTTTGTTTACCATTGCATTTCCTATGGGAGCCAGGTGGGGCTGAGAGCCATGCAGGCTCCCATAGGAAAGCGCCCTTGCAAGCAAAGCGTGATGTCATTGTGTCTTAGGTCTATAAGCTGGTACCCACCTTCCAAATGGGGGCGCTCTTCAAAAATGACCATTATTATGCATACTGCAAATTATATATCCATTTTTACGGTGTAATGTCAAAACTCTTTAACCATTTATTGAAATAATTGCTCAACGAAAAATTGTGACAAAATCCGCCGGGGGGGGGGGGGGGGGGGGGGGGGGGGAGACTGCCCCCTCTGCCCCCCCCCCCCCCATTAGATACGCCACTGGACATGCCCCTAGTAGTTGGCACTATGCTGTTGAATACAATACGGACAGGGGTGCTATATGAGGGCTCTTGCTGTCGGGTTTTACCACTTCATGATGTGTTGTTTCCGATGTCATGATCACTAGAGCTGGGATTCCCAAGCTAAGCAAATACTGTATTGTTCATGCTTAACACTTATGTGTGTATGCTGAGCAGCTGCTTGCAATTGACCCATGCTCACGTCGTTTGTGGTCTTTAATTCTGCAGTGTCTTGTAAAAAATCTATGGTCTATTCGCGGAGTAATATGCATTTGAAGACTTACGTCATTGAAAAATAGCTGTTTGTAATCGCTTGCAGTGCATCCACATGTAGTTGATTGGGGTACGTTCTGATTTTACAAAAATTCGTATTGTATAGCCCAAATTATTATGTCCATCCAAAATAATTATGCAGAGATTAAAATATTTGTAATAGCCTTATTTTTTTTTTTAAGGAAATTCTTTAATTGCGCAAGAAATACAAATTTCTGACTGTTTGGTACTAATGAATGTTTGTAGTAGTTTATAGCCCAGCAAATGATGTATTGGGTGCATATCACTCCTAATTCCATTTATTACGGAAGTCGATCTTCGAGCCAATTGTAACCATGAAAACAGTCGTTTTGGGAGTTTCCAGTTCGCAAACCGTAGTTTAATGATATACACGTATTGATTTTAATACTTTCTTGTGGTTTTCAGCGTCGTTATGACAGATATACTATTCGCCGCCATATTCAGATTATGTATATAAATTATATAGTTGCAATGAGAACTTGCTACTAATAAAATATAAAACGGGAAAACATCACGAAACACATGAAATGGCTTTTTTTATTTAACGAAATTTGTACAAGATTCATGTACAAATTCAGTGTAGTAAATGTGAGCTATGTTGCTGGCTCCAAACTTTACTATAATTTTGGATCCCCTGAGATCTGAGGATCAGATATTCACGTGTGCAGAGCCACGGTCGAACGTCTGATATATCCCACGTAACAAGGTCAGAGACAAATTCTGCTAAATGCACATCAAAAATCTGTCAGATTTATCAAAAAATCTGCCAAATTCCCCAGAATTACTCAAAATATACTATGAAGACTTACCATCACATGCAGATTGGTAGTATTGCCTTAATTAAGATTCAAATTATATAAGTAGACCAGCCAACCTGTCCCATTATGCAAGGGTTTGTTTGAACGGATTTAAGCTATTTTAAACAACTTTTTGTTCAAATTTGCTCAAATAACCATTTTTTGCATAATTCTGCCAGAAATCTGCCCCAAAAATCGATTTTGTCAAATTTTCTGTCAAAATCGTTTTTTTAAACAAAAATTCTGTCAAAGTTAGCCGAAAATCGGCTAAAATGGTCACCCTGAATCCCGTATAGATCTTTTTCAACAGAAGCTATAGAGAGCGCCCCCTAGCATTACATTTTACGACGAGACCGCAGCAGTGCAAAATAACATTGAATGGCTGAAGAGCGCCCCCTCTTGTCATTTATCTAAATCGATCGTAGGGCCTATTCGCTCCTATTTTTGTTTAATTATCTTTTGTTCAGTCACCCATATCATTCGCTTATAAAATTAATGGGCCGATGAAGGGAGGGAGGACACGATACACAAAGGCCCCCGTTTGCCGGATGTTCTTTTGTTGCTCTTCCCTACGTAGCCTGAGACTGCTGCTTCCCTTCACGTTTCATTAATAATGCATTATTAATGAAAAACCTTTTCGTACGTATAGCATGCAGGCATCGTCGATCCTATATTGTAACTGCAGTGAATAATTTATAGCGTTTTATTATTTGTTGCTCATTATGCACTGCATATATAGCCGATTACCGTGGTGCATATATGTGACAAACGTCAATCTGATATTAATGTACAATAAATCATTCAAAGACTATAACCCGAACGCGGTCGCAATGTTTGAAAATTGACGAAATATTAAGACCTATACAAACATGTTGGTGGTCGTTGAGTTTGCATCCCTATGAGTACATTTAACATGCTAACAAATGGCACATAATATGCGATTCACCTTTACCTTTACCTATAGGCGTCGTCCATCCACTGCAGGATGTAGCCGTCTTTCAGACCCCTCCAGGTTGTTCTTTCCTTTGCTGTCCTTGTCCTAGTCCCCCAACCAACTTTGATATGTCATCTTTCCATCTTTTATGTGGTCTGCCTCTATCTTTTTCCTATTCTAGGTTGCTATTTTGTTGTTCTATTTGTCCATCTGTTGTCTGTCATCCTGGCTACATGTCCTGCCCATTTCCATTTCATTGTGTGGACGTATTTGGTGATACCTTTTCTTTGTTTTTTTCCCTGATAATTTGATTGAGTATCCGGTCTTGTAGTGTAATTCCCAGCATCTTTCTTTCCATTGCTCTCCGGGTGGTCGACAATTTATTGTAGATTTGCTTGGCAACTGTTTGGCATCAATAAGTAATTGTCGGTAGTGTGCATTGGTCAGTCGAATACTCTCTTTCTTCATTGATATTTAGTAGTTTTCTGTCCGCGATAGAAGATTTCTTGATATCTTCCGAAAAGACCCCATCCTGCCTTTATTCTTGTGAGTACTTCTTCTTTAGTTGTGTCTTGTATCTTAAGGGTTTGACCAAGGTGTTTTTATTCATTCACTTCAAATTCAAATATTTCATTCTCAATTTTGACATTGACTCGAGAATCAATATTTGTCATCAAATTTATCTTTCCTTTGTGCAGTTTAATCGGCCCAAAGCGATTACAGCGACAGATTCCATGATATACATTGACACTACATGCAAATGTGTTGAGTTCAATAGACAGTTTGCGATCACATGCTATACTACCAGGAAGAGGAAGATACAAAACATAATATGGCGGAAGCATTTCAGAACATTTTGGTTTGTTTCGGATGATTAAAATTGCTTTCGGATTTCCTTATTCGAAAATGCTCATTGCTTTAAAGCAGAAACACATGCACAACGCATTTCAAACTTTGGACTCTAGTGTTTCAGTCAGTATATGCAAGTGTACTTCAGTTTTGTGCGAAGGATACCGTCACACCAAATACACCATATGTCACGCCACTCGCCACTACATGGGCGTCGCCAGGATTTTATTCCGGGGGTGCTAGACATCACTCGCGACGCTTTGTCAAAAACCGTCCATGTTGTTACATGCATTAATTTATCAGTAATATGATTCGCCGCTCGTCTCTTTTTTTCTCATTTTTCATTTTTCT